CAGGTGTCAATGCTACTTTGATTCTTTTTCCAAAATTATCCATATCCTTCTTATCTGTTAAATACTCCTTAATATCAGTTTTCAGTTTTACCCAGATTTCTACAGCATCAATTAATAGGGTATGTTCTCTCTGGACACAGTCCAATGCCACAGCAATAGGCTTAAGTCTCTCTAAATAGTCTTCTGCAGTTCTTTTTAATGCCTTATCATTAACTTACCTTTCAATTTTCTTATCATTGTCTTCACTATTTTCTTTGCACACTTTAACAAGGGTCTCCCAGTTCTTTAAATAAGATTCAATAAAATCTGTCACTGTGTTCCATCGTGTGTCTGATGGCATTACAATGGTCCCTCGGTTAACGAGCACAATCCGTTCTAGAAGGTTGCTCGTTAACCGAAACCATTGTTTCAATGGGTTTTTGGGTAATTGGTTCCAGCTCACCAAAAATTGCCTAAATTCAACAAAAAATGTAGAAAAGTACACTTACTTTGAGGTGTGTATGTAGAAGGCTCCTCGATGATGATGATGATGGGAATTAGAATGGGGGTGGAGGAGAAGGGAGAAGAGAAGGCATTGCGGTGGAAGAGAAGTCACCCCATGGCGCCATTTCACCCATAAAATTTTAGTTCTCTTGGTGAAATTCAAGATTATTTTCATTAAATCAACACTGCACTGCATTATATATTGTCAATATGTAAAATAAATTTCAAAATGACCAATAATTTGCTTGCAAACACAGAAAAAAAGTGTTTCGTTGAAGAGAGTCTCAAGCAAGATGCTACCTCCACTGAAAAGACACAAAGACTGACGCCTGTATGGTGTGTTAACAGGCTGGATGGCGCGCATAAAACTAGTCACTTTACCTTCAATTATGTTCAATAATTGTTAAAATGACTAAAAAATGTAATATTAAACTTTTAAAATTATTGAATAGTATAAACTTTTTGATACAGTCGGCCCTTAACATACGCGGGTTATAATACACGGATTTGCAAATACGCGGATTGCCCCGCCGGAGGAATATTCTGTACATTGAAGTAATTGAAGTACATTCAAATCGCGCGCCATTCAACTCGCGCGCGGCACCGAACACGGAACACCGCCTGCTCCCACAGCCTCACACACACACACGCATAGCTCTCCCTCACTCAGTCAGTCTCGCTGTAACCACGCTTGTGTTGACATCAGCAATGTAGTTGCAAAAATATTACATTTCCGTGAATGTATTATATCAACCACAGTATGAATAGAATATCACTAATATAAGAGTATTTTAACCGAAAACTACTAAAAAAACGAGTAACATATCTTGAACATCGGAAGGTTAGGTAAAGTCTTTTGTTTTCATGTAGTTTATCCTAATTTACATTGAAATGCATTACGTTTCAGCAAAACTACTATTTATTTCTGAGAATATGGAAATGTAATATTTTGCTGAAATGACGTACGTATTACAGTGGAAAGTGACGAAAGCAATGACTCGCTTTCTTTCGTTCAAAAGATGTTACCGTAATCGCTTTTCGAATGGTTTTCAGTTAAAAAACTGTTGTATTACAATAATATTCTATCCTAATTCACTTGTGATGCAACAGTTTTTTTAACTGAAAACCATTCGAAAAGCGATTATGGTAACATCTTTTGAACGAAAGAAAGCGAAAGTCATTGTTTTCGTCACGATTTTATACCACTTTCCACTAATACGTACGTCATTTCAGCAAAAATATTACATTTCCGTGAATGTAGTATATCAAGCACAGTATGAATATAATATCATTGTAATATAACAGTATTTTAACCGAAATCTATTAAAAAAACGAGTAACATCTCTTGAACATTGGAAGGTTAGGTAAAGTCTTTTGTTTTCGTCATGTATTTTATCCTATTTTACATTGAAATACATCACGTTTCAGCAAAACTACTATTTATTTCTGAGAATATATTCATTCAGGCACAGTTTAGGTAAAATATACATGTGCTGTAACATTTTTTTAATTGAAAACGATTCAAAAAACATGTACCCTCTAGCCCTGTTCAAGGAGAAGACTGGGAGGAGCTGCTTGGTGCTTAAGACGATGACAAGGAAAATGATTTTGATGGATTTTAATGAAAATATTCAGAAAGACCCTGACACTGTCAAGGAAAGTGGCTGCTGAAGGCTTCCAGGACATGGCAGAGGACGAGATTAGGGAGCTAATTGAAGAACACGACACTGAGCTGACCGAGGAGGATCTACAGGAGTTAGTAGACTCAGGCAAGGAAAAGGAAGCGAAAGGGAAAGAGGATGAGGAAGAGCACCAAGAAATAACGTTGGAGAAGTTGGGGGAGGTGACCAGGAATATTGAGGCACTGAAAAACCTGGCCTATAGTATGGACCCCTCCATGGTGCATGCCCTGAAATTCATGCGAGGGATGGATGACGTTTTCGCTCCATACAAAAACATCATGGAAGAAATCAAAGAAAGAGACGACAACTCCCCATCACCATGTTCTTTGATCACCGAAGGAGAGATTTAACACCATCAATCACTGGCGGCAGTGAGGAAGCAGCTGAATCCACCGTCGCCCCCACTTCACCACCCGTTATGGAATTGAGTGACGATGAGCCCGATGAACCCCGTCCTGTTGCCGAGGATAGGTACTGTACAGTAAAGTGAAATTTTTATCTTTTTTTTTTAATAGCTTTTCTTGCCATGTTTATTGTTTGTAAAAATGCACAGCACAGTACAGTTCAGTACTGTACATAGGAAGTGGAGGTGCAGTTATTTACAAAACATTTGTGTTCGTTGTCGGCAGTAGTGACGGTGAGGAGGTGGAGGAGGCAGAGGAGGTAGAGGAGGGAGCGGAGGGAGACGAGTTGGGAGGAGTGGTGACCTTGGACGCGGGAGCAGGGACGAGTGGAGATGCCAGCCAGTACATTACGGGTGTATTAATTGTTTTTATAGCTATTTTTGCATTTTAATATTTAATATTGTACATTACGTTTCAACAAAACTACCATTTATTTCTGAGAACATGGAAATGTAATATTTTTGCTGAAATGATGTACGTATTACAGTGGAAAGTGGGATAAAATTGTGACGAAAGCAATGACTTTCTCTTTCTTTCGTTCAAAAGATGTTACCGTAATCGCTTTTCGAATGGTTTTCAGTTGTGGGATTATAAGGCTAATGATAGGATAGAATATTATTGTAATACAGTACGAGTACAACAGTTTTTTAACTGAAAACCATTCGAAAAGCGATTACGGTAAAATCTTTTGAATAACGAAAGAAAGCGAAAGTCATTGTTTTCATGATTTTATCCCACTTTCCACTGTAATATGTACGTCATTCCAGCAAAAATATTATATTTCCATATTTATTTCTGAGAATACCTATATTCATTCAGTCACAGTTAAGGTAAAATATACTTGTGATGTAATATTTTAATGAAAATACGGTATCGTAGTTTTCTTTTGTTTCAAATTTAATTAACAAAGATTGATGTTTCAAATGTAATGAACAAAAATTTATGTACAGTATCTATAAATAAACTTTAATAAATGAATACTTTGTTTTACATCGTCTTGTGCTACCATACCATGGATTTGGCTACTTTGGGCTTGCTATGATGACGCAAGAGATCTGCCCTGGCAACTGTACTGGTGGTGCGTTTGTGCATCGTTTCCATTGTTTACTGGTAGTTACTGGTAAATATTTTTCAACCTAACGAAACTATTACCCGTTTAGAGGTCGACCCCCAATTTTTTGCCAAATAATTTGGTCTTAAAAACTTGAACTACACACAGGTATATACGGTAAATAAGGACATGGGGGGACCAGGTTTTTTTGGGGGGGGGCAGCACATATACGCGGATTTTTAACATCCACGGGTATCTCTGTTACGTAACCCCCGCGTATGTTAAGGGCCAACTGTATTTACTAAAATATGAAGGAATTTAAGCACTAGAACCGATTACTGTATTGGTGGACTAATACTACAGCTGGTTGACCGCCAAGTGCAAGCGAAAACTTGTTGTGGTCGGCTCGTGAGAAACTCGTTAACCGAGGGATTGCTCGTTAACCGAAGTTAAGAATCTTATGGGAGGTAACTCGTTAACCAAGGAGCTCGTTAACCGAGGGATAACTGTACTAGCATTGTTCCTCCTGCTCTTCTATACAAAGATCCTGGGATGTGATGATTTCTGAATTTCAATAGTATTAATTATCTTAGGTAACAATATATTTCATGTAAATATATACATTAATAATGAGACCTTATGATATGATCAAAGTTTCACAAAACTGGAAAGAACAGACTATAGTACAGTACATAATTATGTAAATCCAAATTATGTTATTAGCCTGCTGCATTGTATATACTTTTCAATCATGTAGAATAAAAAGAGAAAACAGTTATTAGTAAAAAAATTATTTTGATTTAAATCATGATTTTTTTACTCTGATTTAAATCGATTTAAATCATGTGATTTAAATCATTTGATTTAAATCATAACAACCCTGAAACAAACAGACGATATGCGGTGACATGGCAGATATTTACGGTAAAGAATTAATCTCTTCATGTACACACACACATCATTTTAGTGTCACATGATCAGTTTTTCACCATGTTTTACCCCACAATTTCCTTCATCCTTCATGCCCTGCCCACTATAGGTGATGTATAAAATGTTTTTGCCTCTTTTAAAATGCTTACAATAATGATAAGAACATGTGTGTAAAAAGTGAACAAAATGGAACAACTCTTACTGGTAGTAGTACAATAGTGCTGCTCTCAAAAGTTACTCTCTTTTTTACTTTATGAAGGTCATTTGGAATTTGTGAAGAATACCTTAACTGATAGTATATATATATATATATATATATATATATATATATATATATATATATATATATATATATATATATATATATATATATATATATATATATATATATATATATATATATATATTATTATATATATTTTTATTTATTTATTTTTTTTTTACTTTCAGTAGAGCAGTATGCCATAACAATATACTTATAGGATATGACATAAATCCTGCATCTATACACTATGGATGGGGGAAGCAACTATCCGAGGCTAGGAGGAGTGTTCATCTGACTCCTGCCGTCTCAATGTTCATCAAAGTTCAAGAAACACCCAATCCAAATTCTCTCAAATTTTTACCAGGTGTCCAGGTATGTTGTTGTGCCTCTTCATGGTACAGTATATGGGTCTTAACTGTGGCAGCCTCTTGATGGTACAGTATATGGGTCTTAACTGTGGCAGCCTCTTGATGGTACAGTATATGGGTCTTAACTGTGGCAGCCTCTTGATGGTACAGTATATGGGTCTTAACTGTGGCAGCCTCTTGATGGTACAGTATTCTCTCAAATACCAGGTGTCCAGGTATGTTGTTGTAACACTGTGGCAGCCTCTTGACAGTACAGTATATGGGTCTTAACTGTGGCAGCCTCTTGATGGTACAGTATATGGGTCTTAACTGTGGCAGCCTCTTGATGGTACAGTATATGGGTCTTAACTGTGGCAGCCTCTTGATGGTACAGTATATGGGGTCTTAAC